ATGTATTTGTAGATTCATATCCATGGGGAACCATTCCCCATACAAGGAAATTTTGGAACATATGAAAGAATGTATTAATATTACTACCCTTTATGAGACAGGGTTTTCAGTATATAGCTCTATCTGGTCTGAAACTTGCTATATAGAATTTAGAGTTCTATATGGCCCTGAACTTAAGAGTTCCATCTGCTTCTGCCTCCTGAGCGCTCAGGTTAAAGCTGTGTGCCATTAATTACACCTGTCCATGAGACAGTTATAGAACATTAGGATATTTATGATTATGGAGTTCTAAATCATAAGCAAATTTTTACAAAAAGCTACTGTGTAAAATTAAGGGCTTTGCTAAGCCCACTCTAGCTCCCTATTATATTTATTAATAAGCTTCAAGCACTATAGTGGGGAAGATTCTCAGTTAGCTCAATCTTATCTAACCCAACTAATCCTCACATTGGCCTACCTCCCAGCCACATTCTGTTACCTGCCATCTTAGTTTCCTCCTGGCTGTTACTGCTCCATACATGTCCTCATGGCTACCTCTTATGGTGACGTTTTTCTCTCTCTGCCTCCACCTGGGGACCTCCTCACTGGGATCAGAAGTCCCACCTAACTCTCCTACTCAGCTATGGGCTGTTCAGCTCTTTATTAACTGATCAGAGGTGATGGAGAACAATTTTTTATATAACATTGAGATAGGAGATATTTCTTAGAAATGCCAATGTCCAGACTGCAACTAGATCTCTGGGTACAGAAATTAGCATTTGAATACATGGTACACAAAAACACCCCTCAACACTACTGTGTCCTTTGCTAACTGAAAAATAACTTGCCTAGTACGATGACTCACATCTATCAATCTAGCACTCAGGATGCAGGAGGATCAGGAGTTCAGGTTTGTCCTTGGCTACAAAGTCAGTTCAAGGTCAGCCTTGGCTACTACCAAAGACTCATTGTGAACATCTTCCTTCAAAAAAAAAAAAAAAAAAAAAAAAAAGCAAGAAAAATAAGTGATTCTTTCATTTTTTTGGGGAAATACAGGGTCTGCTAAGTAATATTTCACTGAAGCCTACAGAGAGAATGCTTTAAAATGTTGGAAGGCAAATGCTTTATCCTCTTTGATATTTGTTTTCTTTAATCAATAAACAGGACCTGCTCTAAAAGTGAAGTTCAGTATTGCACGCTCCTCGAAAAGCCCACCCAAATGGCTCTTTTCCTCCTTATATCCATTTGATAGAGAAGGGTTTACAGAGGCAAAAAGGGCTGGAATAGGCACAGACATTCACCCACAGGTTTGGGAATGGTGCAGGTTCACAGACAGGTTTGAGAGACCACCATCCATGTTCTATCCGCTTTGCCCTGCTGCTGCTCAGGCTATATTGGACTCTAATCCTGAGAAGGCCAGTTGTGTGCCCGTGTCAAAAGCCAGCCTAGGTATCCAGAAGAAGATAAATGGCTTATCACCATTTAAATACTCTCCAAAAAGCCATTTAGACAAAGCACGTTTATCAGAGACCAAGACAGTTTTGGACAGAAAAAGCCCAATAGTTTAATTCAAAGGTTCCCAGGGGCTCTATTATCCATTACCACTTCCATTTCCTAAGGACTGAGAATGTTCTATTGCCACTACCAATATACACAGAGATTAAAAAAAAAAAAAATCCTGACTTAATACCTTCCACTCACATAAATAAAGTATGACCCCTTAAATATGCAGGCCTGTTGCCATGACTGTGTGCCAGAATAGGCTGGGTTGTGCTGTGAAAAGGAGTAACTGTAACGATGATATTTGTAGCTGAGCACAAAAGTGTTTATTTCTTGCTCATACAAAATTTAGTGTGGGTGACTATGTCTCCAGGACATGAGCCCTCCCCTACATTGTCTCACAAACATGGGCTGCTGTTTTAAGCAATTCCATTCAGCACAAGACTCCCTTCTCCAACCACCGTGGCAAGGCAGAAGGGAGACTGGATAATCAGAAACAGCATCTCACTCTCTCGGCCTACAAATGCCTCATCATTAAGCATCACATAGCCCTGCTTACTTGAAAGGGCAGTTGAGAAATACTGTTTCCTGTGAGTCTAGGAGAAGAGATGGAGACACGGTCAACATTAGCAATGTCTACATAGCAAAGCGCTGACTACGCTTTCACACAGGCACAGAACTAGCCACACAGAAGTAGAGAACCGCCACTGACAGGGGAGGTCCTCCTCCCCTTCCATCTGACCCTAGCCCATCAGGTCTTATTAGGACTGTTGCACTGTCTTCCTCTGTGGCCTGGTAAGGCTGCCCATACTCCTCCAGGGGGAGGTGATCAAAGAACCTGCCACTGGGTTCATGTCAGAGATGGCCCCTACCCCCCCCCCCCCTTACTAGGGACCCACTTGGAAACTGAGCCACCTATGGTTTTCCTCTGAGCAGAGGGTCTAGGTCCTCTCCATCCATGGTCCTTGGTTGGAGTATCAGTCTCTGCAGGACCCCCTGGGCTTAGGTTTTTTGGCTCTGTTGGTTTCCTTGTGGAGCTCCTGTCCTCTCCAGGTCCATCTCCCCTTTCTTTCGTAAGATTCCTTGCACTCTATCCAAAGTTTGGCTATGAGTCTCAGCATCTGCTTTAATACCCTGCTGGATAGAGTCTTTCAGGGGGAGAAGAAGAAGGGTAGGTGGGACTGGGAGGGAATGGAGGGGGCTACAGCCAGGAGTGAGAAGAAATAGAGAACTGCCTACTCAAGATGGAAGCCAGGAATCACAGCCGTTCTTTCCTTGGCAGGCTGAGAAAATACTTCTGTCTCTCCAGCTTTCTCCTCTCCCTCCAGTAAAAGCCATGTAAGAGAGGATCATGTTGATCTCAGCTGAGTTCTATGTATGTATGTATGTATTCATTACTGTGCTCTAGGATTACAGACATGCACCCCCATGTCCTTCTTCATTTTACTTCCCTATTTTACTTCATCTATACAAGCTTTGGTGCTGTTTTGGACACCCCCTCCTCTCAGTCTAGAACTATCAGAAGCAAAATTTTGTTGTTTATAGGCTTCTTGGTAGAAGACATTTTGTTACAGTAGCCTAAGAAAATCAGGACAAACCCTCTAAGTACTTAATATGGTTTTTGACCTGTTCAGGCCCAATTCTGGAAAAACACCCAAAGTTTTGAAAGAAAACCTTTAACAGGAAACTCTTTTGACCTAACATTTAATGACTGCGATATCCTGCTCTATATTCCACACGTTCTTACTAGCGGCTGACACTCCCGAGAGTTGCCTGCTTAAATGCAGGGTGTTTCGTGGCTGCCTCAACAAATCCAGCAGAGTGGACATGATGCCATGGAGATGGCTGAAATGGGTTGTAAGAATCAACATCGCTTCTGCCTTGTCCGCTTGCTATCACTTGAAGAACAGAGTTACCCACGAGGAAGATGAGCGGCTACACGGAAAGGCTACCTGTAGATAATTCAGAGGACAGCTGCAGCGGAGTTAGAGCCATTATCTCCAGCCAGGCAGGGATAACCTCCAGATTCCAGACTCGGCCCTGACGGAGCTATTGGCGAGACAGGTTTTTCCATCCACTGCACTCCTGAATTTGCTGTGCACTAAACAGATAACATATCTCAACAATATCCCATCTCTTATATCACATAAATCTTACCGTTGACTCATCAACGTAGTCAGCGGAAAACTCACCCAAGACATAACTGTTGGGCTTTTGCTATCTTCTCCTTGGTTCTGTATTTTCACAAGGCACGTGTTCCTCAAGTTTGGGGGACCAAGCTGATCTCAGCTGAATATTTATTTACTGTGGAAGGCCTCCCCATACTACGTAGCAAATTTCTGACTCTCCTGCCTCTTACCCTCCAAAGCTCTGGGATTCTAGGCAAGCACCACCATGCCCGGCTCATTTCTTCCTTTTTCCTTCCCTTGATCCCTTCTCTGGATATCTTTTCCTTTTCCCCCACTTCACTCAGCCCAATGCTTTACATCAGTCGGCAGGAAGCTGCCTCCAACTCTTCATTGCTGAGTTCATCTTTGAGGAGATGAGGCCCAGCGAAAGGGCCTAGGAAGCCATCCCCGGGTCCCTCTGTTCCACCTTTCTTACAGGCTTTGGCTTGGCTGAGGGCTTGGAGGCTGGGCTCCCTGCTCAGGGGGCAGTGGTGATTAAGAGCCAGCGGGGCCGCTCCTCTGGCGACTCCGGGGGGAGCCACCACGGCAGCAAACGCAGCACCTCCTACGGCAGCCAGACACGGAAACCGCGCGCCTCCCACGCTCCCCCGCGACGAAGTCACGCTGCACCGGGGCAAAATGGCGCCGCAACCCCCCCCCAAAACCGGCTCAGCAGCGTGAGGGGGCGGGTCGTGCGTCACGTGACCCCGCCCGCCCGCAGCGCGGCCCCGACCGCCCCAGGCACGCGCCGAGCGCCCGGCTCGGCCAAGCGGGCGGCGCCACTGCCCCGCCGGGGGGCGAGGGGCGGCCTGGCTGGTCCCCCGCTGGGTCATGACACTCTGTCTAAGCCAACCAAGCGACCCGGGGCGTGAGGAGGCAAAGGGGGTTGCAGAGCCGGCTCCGGGGGGCGGGGAGGTCCAGGCAGCCTCGGGGAGGCGGGAGATCGGAGCCGAGCCACCCGGCTGGCCGTCCCGCAGTCCTGGCGCTCAGCCGAGTGCACGGAGCCAGGCTGGGGACCCTCAGGGCCTCCTGCCCTCGCCTCGGCTGCCCACGGGGGGCTCCTGCGGGGACCACTGCGGGGAGGGGGTGATACCTCGCCCCAGCCTCGAAGCCAGCGGCGGTGAACCACAGCGTCAGCCAAGCGCTCCACTCCCCGTAGGGAGAGGGGACCGTAGCGTGCGCGCGGGTTCTCCGCAGCCACCGACGTCCCCGCCGGGTGGGCTTGGCCGTGGTGCCCTCTCCCTCCGCCCCCCACTTGGGGAGGAGGGAGGGCCCAGCGATGCGCTGCTGTGACCGAGCCGCCTCCATGTGGCTGCTGACGGGCCCGGGGCGGGGGGGTGGTGGTGGTGGGGAGCAGGCATGGGGCGCGGCCGCGCCTCCCTCCCTCCCACCCCTCCTCGCGGACGACAGGGCTAGGCGATGAGCAGACGTGAGGGGCCAGCCGGCCGCCCGGCTCTGCAGGACGCTGCGTGGCTCCTGGTCCCTCCGCGTCCCGGGCAGGAGCGGTTGTGGCTCTGGGGTGGGCGAGGCGCCAGCCCCCCGGCTTCGCTATGGGGCACAACGGCAGCTGGGTGTCGCCCAACGCCAGCCACCCGCGCAACACGTCGGGCGCCGAGGCGGGTGCCAACCGCAGCGCGTTCGGGGAGCTGAGCGAGGCGCAGCTGTACCGCCAGTTCACCACCGCCGTGCAGGTTGTCATCTTCGTTGGCTCGCTGCTCGGTAAGCGAACCCGCGGGGCCACCTCCCGAGGACGCAGAGCCGCCGTTGGGGGTGCGGGGGTGCCTGGCCATGTGCGGGGAAGTTTAACGAGGGCGGTCGCCCGCAGCCCGGAGTCTGGAAGTGGAAGAGTTGGGACAGGGCTTCTCTTGGCAGGAGGAGGAGGATGGTACGGAGTGCCCGGTCCTGGGGGAAGACCTGTCCAGACAGCCCTCGCCCAAGGCTTCGGGCTCCGCGCATCACCGCTTACCTTTTGGTGCCCGGGGGTTTCGCTGCCTCGAGCTCTTGTTTACAAATAGGAGCGACGACTCCCTGGGAATCTGTTGCTGATGAGGGAATGTCAGCTCTTACAGTCGAAGATGTGTGTTTTTTTTTTTTTTTTTTTTGCGCCACTGTCTATTTCCCATATAAGAGAATTATTTTATTGAAAGGGCTTTATTTTACCTGCCTGTTTCGGCTTGGTTCTTAGGGACACCAGCCAGGTAAAAAGAAAGCGCGTGAAGTTAAACTTTACGTTGCCTTCAGGTAATTTTACAACCTCCTAGTAGAACGAAATCCGCTGTAGACTTCTCCGCCTGTGTTTTAGGCGCTTAGCAGAGCCGGGGAAAACAAGTCTCAAACTACACACGATAGATCTCTTCCCTTGTTCGGAGAGGATTAAAAAAATAAAAATAAAAATTGACCACAGTGCACTCCCGCCCCTGTTTGTAGGTCATTAAATTGGTTCTCAAAGAGAGCTGCAGGACCTAAAGACGAAAGATTTACTGTACCCGTGGTTTCTCTGCGCAGTGGCTGGTAAAACGGTGTGGCTAGCGTGAGAGCCGCCTCTACTTCCCTTACTTTTAGATGGCACTTGCCCTCCTCTCTTTAAACCATGAGCAGTACAGTCAATGCTGCCTTGGCAAGCACAAAGGATAGTAGCAAACAGCTCTGAATCCTCTGTTGTGAAAAGATGACAATTATGTGTGGATGCTTGTGAAGAAGAGAAGCCAAAGTTTCAAAGTCAGAATAAATTGTATTTTCTAGACACTTGGGAATTTCCATGGAAACCAAGATATCTGAAATATTAAAAGGCCATATTTGGAAAAAAAATAATGTTTGGAATTTCCCTGCATACTTTCTCAAATTGTCATCATGCTGGTCCATTCTGTTGTAATAGTTGTCTTCCACTTTTCGTCATGAGAGCATTTTTGGGTGTAGATGTCTGTGTGACTTTGACTAGATGTGTGTTTTCAAGTGGACTGTTAAATGCACACCTACAAAATAAAACTCTATGTTCCATGGTTCCGAGATTCATTTAACAATCACTGACTAAACACTTACTATACAAAGAGTTAAATTCCAATATTGCTTCATTTAAAATGTATGTTAATGGGAAAGGCAGAGAAAATGACTGGGTTTTTCAAATATTCATCTTTCTCTCCTGCTGTATATATGCATACGTGAATAGCTTTCCCCCATGGCAACTTTGGTGTTGAGAGAAATTTTTTCCCCATGGACTGAATCTAAAAAGTTAAAGTGATCCGTGAATAGAAGATAGTGTGTCTGTAAAAGACATTGTGAGCAGTGGGTGTCTCTGCTGTCTCTCCGTATTTTTCTTTCCCATCCTTGCCTTATCTCAGGTAAATAAGGTAAATCTTCTCTTATTTCAGTTCTTTCCCCCATAGTACTTGGAGTGACATTCAAAACTGCCTTCATAGATCTCTCTAAAAAACAGACTCGTTTCTCCTTGATCTTTGGATATGCCTACCTGGACCTACTAAGAATCTCATTTGCTCTGTTTTCAGAAAACACAACTATAGATAGCATTTCATGTTTCCCTGAAAACATAGCTGAATGCTAATATTGTCCTGTGAGCTTATTCCTCATGGGAGTTCTTGATTCATTGTTTTAGAAGGATGAGATCCATTCAGACATGCGTATGCAGATTTTTTTTTCTCTGGAAAAAAACGTGCCAGTTGAGGCTTAGCACTTAAAGTCTGAAGCAATGTCCAGTTGCATGCAAGGTGAGTAGACTTGGGACCATAGCTCCAAAGTCCGCAAATAGAGGGAAGTCATAGATTAGAAGCAGGAAGAAGGTATAATTGTGGGAGGATGAGTACCATCTGATGATGGATTAGCTGTGAGGTAGTATACTTACTGCTCATCCCAAACATGGGCAAATCACTTGTTCTTTACTTTTTCCCTTTAAACAAATGCAAGCACTCTCTGCCTATTCTCCACATAGAGCTCTCTTTCCTAGGCTTCCAGAGACTCGTTAGTACATGAGGATGAATACTTTTCTTGCACCGCTATCCTGCAGAACTTTAAACACATTTTTTTTTTCCAGTGCTCCGTAACTGGAAAAATGTCCCAGGAACTTGGAATAACTATTTAATCTGAAGGATATTATTTACTATGCTGAAACTGGCTCAAAAATTGCTCAAAAATGAGTAAAGTGAGGGTTTCTCAGCCTTCTTGCTACAACATCTTGGGATACCTTCAGTCACGTGGGAATCCTGGAAGAGGGTCAGATAATTTAGTTCCTGTAAGAGGTGGCTCACACCTCTTCTAGAGTCGACAATTAGAAATCAAAGACTCAGAAAGATATGGAGTCACCATTTCCAATAAGATGGAGCTCTGAGCTCATGGTGACACACATCTTTAACCCTAGCACTCAGGAGACAGAGGCAGGCAGATCTCCAGAGTTCCAGGGCAGACTGGTTCACAGAGGGAGATCCAGCCAGAGCTACACAGACAAACCCTGTCTGAAAACTAAACAAACAAACAAAAACACTGAACTCAGCCAGTTGTGGTGGCACACACCTTTAATCCTAGCGCTCAGGGAGGTAGGATTCTATGTGAATTCGAGTTCTACCTGGTCTACAAATCGAGTCCAGGACAGCCAAGCCTACACAGAGAAACCCTGTCTCGGAAAAACAAAACAAAACAAAACAAAAACAAAACACCCTGAACTCCATAGGCCAAATCTCCCTTTTTCCCAATCTGTTTGAATTCACAATGAAAGTACCCACAAAGCTGCATTTCTCTTTGTTGCTTTGACTTAGAAAGGTCAGTAGTCATGACCAACCGTTACGGCTAAGCTACTCCTACATAGACCGCTCATCACCAGAGCCAGTTATCCATGGAGGAATGGGAGGCATTTCATTTTTAAATGAATTTCCCGTTAAAGTCATCACTGCAGAATTAGCCAGCATGTGAGTATTCTACACTGAAAGCCAAGCCAACGTGCATATATGGTTCTCAGAAGTGTCCCTCCTTTCCCAACTGTCATGCTCTGAAGGTTTGCTGGGCACCCACAGCCTCCTGCGTCCACTTGCTGCTGATGTAACCCCGGTGTCGTGGTCTTTAGGAAATGGGCCTTTTGGAGGAAGTTTAGGTGAGATCAGGTTTAGTGCCAGAGAGCTCACAGCCTCTGCTTCTCCATCTGGTGAAGGCGTAGCAGGAAGGCAGTCACCCACAAGTCAGAAAGGGGGCCTTCCTCAGAACCTGCCCACATTGCATCTGACCTGAGACTTCCTAGCTTCCGGAACTGTTAGAAATAAGCATTTGTTCCAGCCACCCAGTCAATGCATTTTTTGTTTGTTTGTTTGTTTGTTTGTTTTAAATGGCAGCCTGTGTGGGCCACTATACTTAAAATGGTGTATAGTGAATCACTGTGAAACTGATGATCACCAAGTAAAGGTTGTATTATTCTTTTGAAACAGCATCTCTCACTGAACCTGCAGCTAGGCTGTTGAGCACGAAGCCCCAGCTATCTTTCTGGCCTTTTACATGTGTTCTGGGATCTGAACTCAGGTCCTCATGCTGGCTGAGTAAGCATTCTCATCCACTGAGCCATCTCTATAGCCCTAAAGTATTTATTTTAAAGGAAAGGCAGGGAGAAGGCACATGCAGCTCAGTTCGGTAGAGTGCTTGCTTGGTGCGTAAAAGACCATTAGTTTGATTTGAACAGTGGGGATAGGCTGAGGGGAGGAAAGGAGGAAGGGAATGGGCTTGTTGAATCTGCCCAACAGATAGATGAAATATAGAAACACCATTTTGCTTCAGGCTTGTTTTTCGTAGTCTTCTGGCAAAATCACATGGCATTCAAGCAATGTTCATGATACCTGATAGAGACATATACTTGTGCCTTTGATAATAGCTAGTAATTCTTAGAGTTTTCTAGTTAAATACTTGACAGCTGATGTATTACGCTCGCTTGTGCTCATAATTCATAATTATACAGAATAATTTTTAGTTAACCATAATTATAGACAATAGTAATATAATACCAGCTACCTTACATCTATATGCTGTTTCTGTTTTGGCATGTCTAGAAACCCGTACAGACTACATTAAAAAAAAAAAAAAAAGGTATCCTAGTCAGGTGTGGTGTTGCAAACTTGTAATTTTAGCACTTGGGAGGTGGAGGCAGGAAGATCAGGAATTCAAGGCCAGCCTTAGCTACATAGTGAGTTCAAGGCTAGACTGAGCTGCACAGATCCCGTTTCACACACACACACACACACACACTCACACACACACACACACACACACACCCTAAATAAGGTATATCAAAGCTGACCTAAAGAGTCAGGGACATGGCAGGGTCAGTAATTAGCCTGGATAGATAAACCAATAATTCCAATAAATGGAATCCAAATGCCCCATCTTTGATATAATAGAAACTTACTCCACCCATTCTCCGCCCTCCATTTTTATGCCTGTATGTGTGCATGCGTATATACAGGTGTGTGTGCCCAGGAAGGCCAGAGAATAACCTTGGGTGTGACCCTTGGGTATTTCTATCACTTCCTTTTGAGACAGGACCTCTCACTGGTCTGTGGCTCACTAACCGGGCTTCACTGACTGGCCAGTGAGCCTCAGGGACCTCCTTGCCTTCACATCATGAGCTCTGGAGTTACAAGTACCCATCCCCATTCGTGACGTTTTTATGTGGGTTCTGAGAATCAAACTCAGGTCCCTGTGTTCACAAGTGTTTTGCTGATAGAGATATTTCG